GAGAGAGAGAGAGAGAGAGAGAGAGAGAGAGAGAGAGAGAGAGAGAGAAACAGACAGAGCAGACGCCATAAGACACCATCAGCGAGCGTTGCTGTGAGCCACGGCGTAGCCGTGGCGGGTTCCACTTGTATTAAAAAAAAAAATTAGGGTTTAGGGTTTAGGGGTCTGCTGGGAAAAGAAAAAATATGGAAATGCATCTTTCCATGTTCTAACGGAGAATTCACTCTGGCCTCACGACTAAGGTCCTGACCTCCCGACTAAAGGTGTCCCTCCACTGCTCTGCTATGTACTTGTATTCAAACATCAGGAGAGCAGGTACTGAAAAACAAAAAGGGCGCGTCAGTCTGCAGCCCCCCACGTGACTTCTCCCAACAGCTGCAAGCGGCAAAAGAAAAAATTGCGGCCTCCTCCCCACAACCGGCCTTCCCCCGCGCGGCGCATGGGCTTCCTTGTGGCACGACACTTACTTGAGTGGCCGGGCTCTTGGGATGAAATGAAACTCACCCCCCTTCTCACATAGTCCTCGATCAATTAGCATCCTCTACACTAGTGTCTATCATCTAGGACGGTCAACTTCTACCCCTAAGTACAATGTCGGATCCCTCGTCAAGCTCGCCTAACTTGAGGGGAGCCCTAAAGTCGCTCCTTTTCTTCCCTGAAGTGCAGATTTTAGTTGTAGGTGCCCTCCACTGTCGCCTCTCTCCAATTGCATCACACAAATTCCCACCCTGTGTCTCGCCACCACACATACACACATTAGCAACCTGGCCCGGTCTATTGTCAACCCTACACGACCCTGCCAGGTGGGAGCAGCTTCCCTTTCACCACGCTGCCCCGCTCAACCCTAACTTCCTGCCCTAACTACTTAGGTTAGGGTTATGGCGGCAAAGTCGACTCTCGCCAGCAAGTAGAATCCGCTCTGATACTAATGTTACGATCCTGGCCAATTACGAAGTACACATTCATCAGAAAGTACAATGCCGTCCAATTGCAAAAAGAAAAGAATGACCTTGAGAGGAGAGAGAAGGAAAGAAGAAGAAGAGGAAGATGAAAGAAAGAAAGAAGAAGAAGAAGAGGATGAAAGAAAGAAGAATAAGACCAATGAGAATTCCCTTCTTCGCTAACCACTCCCCTCCTCCTTTTCTCCTCCCCTTATATTCAAACAATAAATAACAATAATGAATACTTGTGGCGCATCACATGTGCGCAGCACATGATGCGGCGCATTTAGAAATTAATAAAAATAAATAAAATCAGAAAGGGTAGGTCGCCGTACCCATAAGTGTCCCTCCCTTTTAAAAAGAGTAAGTACACAAAGAGAATATTTTGGACTGCTGGAAGACCACGAGTTGGCCAGCAATATATCCCGGATTCGGATTCAGGTCTGTGTTCCAAGAGTTATGGGTTACGAATTTACCACAAACACTTTACGTGCAGTGGCCCTAAGGGCCTCGCTCCACTCATCAGCACTTGCAGAAAAGACAAACGGATGGCTTGTATGGTTCCAGTTTCTAGGAGAAGATTCATTCTAGTTTTGCACATACAGTAGCTGTCTCGTTTTTTTTGTTTTTCCTTTTCTTACTGGCGTGCAGTGGCCCTAAACGCCTGGCTCCACTCATCAGCACTTGCAGAAAGGAAAAACGTATGGCCTGTATGGATCCAGTTT